TTTTATCTGCAGAAAGAGATAAATGAGACATAATCCTGCCCTTCAGAGAGCTCGGTTGCCTTAGAGATGCATAAACATAAATGGGATGATGTTATAGATGCCGGAATATGTGTATGTCTGGGGTTGACACCCCGAAGGCTCTGTGCATTTCTATCTACAATTTCAGGAAGACTAGGTCATGCTTGAGCTGAGACTTAAAAGCAAGTGGGTATGGCCCCGGGTGGAACACAACTCCCCAGGGGCAGGAGCAGTGAGAGGAAGGCTGTGGCAAAGCCATGTGTTTAGGGAGTTCCGGGTGGGTGAGCACAAGCCAGGGCAGGCTGCAGCCTCACAGAGAAGCGAGGGGCTTTCATGCCGGGCCAAGGCAATCAAACTTTGTTCTTCTAGGCAAAGGGGTCTCCAAAATAGCTTTTGTGCCTAGTTATGAAATCCTGAGCTAATCTGCCCTATTTTCACTCATGTGGTGTCTGAAAGCCAGAGTTAAAAATTGACGAGATCTGATAAGAGAAGTGATCTTCATCTTTCCCCTGAAATACTTCTAAGCAACTCTTTCACCGGTAGCCTACTCACCCGTTCAGTTTTGGCAGCGCTCAGTGGACAGTGTGATTGCAGGGCCAGCCGGCGCTGAAGAGCGCAGTCCTTCTCCATCTCTCTCACCGACGCACCCGGCACCCGACTGCCTTTAACCACTAGGTCACTATCGCTGAGCCTTGGTGTGAAATGTAGATAATTATACTTATATTCACTGGCCTCATGGGACTTCTCCTTAATATTTATAGCTGCAAAATACTTTGCAGTCATTTTTATTAATAGTTACCAGATGTGTCATAAGGATTAATGAGTTTATGATCTGAAGTGTTTTGAGCTCCTGAAATAGGAGGCAGCCGCCTGCACGGGGGATATGTAAAAGAGCACTGAACTGCAGACAGTACACATTTGGAAATTTGAGCTGTTATGTGTGAAGGACAAATGGCGCGCTTAAGATTTCAGTATACTTTGTAGGTATTTTGGGGACCCTTAATAAGGTTGCTGGATTCATTACAGGCCATTGCCAAAAATAGAAGTAAGTAACCCCCACTCCCACCCCACCCCCCACACACCCATCCCCGATGCTCTTCCTGCTGATTCCACTGTTGCTGACTTCTTGTGCATCGTCTCTGGCTCTGTTTCCCCACCTACAACCAGTTGTTTTCAAGTATTCAACAGTCTCCTTTAGATATCTACATTTGTTTTTCTATTTTCTTTTCCTCTTACTATCCAAATTCAGGCTCTTATTAGCTCTCCATCAAGCCATTAAGGCAACTTCTGAGTTTATTTCTCCCCATTTCAAATCTCCCCTCTTTAAGGATTAACCCTCTATAGACATAGCTCTTATTACCGCTTCCTGCAGGAACCTTCAGCAGCTCCTCATTGCCTGCGAAAACCAACCACAGGCTCCCAAGACCTCTGCATGGCCCTGACCCTCTGTCCCTCTGCCCAGGGCTTGCCAGTCTAGACCCTTCTCTCCTCCCCAAGACCTCTGGATGCCTGGGTGGCTCTTCCCAGGGCAGAGGGGGACACAGCAGACACAAAGGGGCTCCTTGGCCATCCCAGTGCGGTCAGCCCTGGGCCTTTGTCAGAATAAAACCACCATCGTGAAGGTGTTCTAGGCCTGGGCCACTCATGGTCTGTTCCTCCTCCAAATCATCTCTGCTTTTGAAGTGTCCATTCTAACGTCTGCCCTATTTCTTGACACTTTAGTTATTTATATGCGTGTCCTTCCCACAAACTAGATCGCCAGTCTGTTGAGAACAAAGCCTGTGTCTCTGTGTTCTTCCCAGTGCCTGTTGTCACTGTGAGGCCTGACACGTCTTTGTTGAACTGAACTTTGCCATTGACTCACAGCTGCAGTCACCAGTGCTGCAGACACAGTTGAAAGGCACGCAGTGGAAAGGATCCTGTGGTGACCTCTCTGCACTTGTCGTGGAGCTCTGAGAAAAATTAACACGCGGCCAGTTTTGTGTGTCTGTACCCTCAGTCTCGTCAGCATGCACGTGTCAAACACTCCCTGTTGGAGGAGTGTCCACCTGCGGCCCTGTTGTCCAGAGCTGGCGGCCACTGCTGCCCAGCGCCCTCGGAGGCAGGCACACACGCTGCTCGTGCGGGACCGGGAGGCCGGAGCGCCGCCATTGCACTGGGACCTGATTGGGTCTTGGTTTTGACGTGGTTTTCAGATGTGCTCGATCACCCTCTTTTTTTCTGGTTCACACTCTGTCTGGATGGTGGGAGTCGGGTGGCACCTGTGTGGAACCTTTCGCTTCAGTAAGAAGCGGCTGTGGCAGGAAGTCTGGCAGGGGCCGACTCAAGGTTCCCGGCCTAGTGGCCTGGAGCCGTGAGGTCAGAGAAGCAGGAGTCCCCAAGGCCCCCTGGGTTCCTGTGCAGTGTCGCTGCTGTCTGGTCCTTAATTCATTTCTGCTAATATTTTTTAAGCATTTACTGGAATTTTCTAATTACTCTGAGTCATAAAGAAAAGTATAAATTACATTTCTTTGCTTTATTTAGGAGGGCACCAAGTATATTGTCTTAGAAAAGGTTTCATCCTGGCTAGCTATAGTTCCATCCTTGGTAGGATTTTCGTGTTTTGTACTTTAAGGGGGAATGTTTCATCCCAATCCTGTCTGTTTTAAATAGGGCCTAACTGAAAAATTTAAGTACTCTGGAGTTCAAACTTAAGAAAGTTTTTTTTTCTACTTTTACTAAAATATGCTCTGAGTACCTTCCCACTTGTGGGGACTTCAACTAGTATGCGGAAAATAAGCATAAAGAGGCAGCCCCTGCATTCAAGGACTGCGTGGTGGGGTGGGGGCTGCTTGTTTGAAAATAACTCACTTGTCCAGTTGTTGGTGGAGTGGGGACACGGAGAGCTCGTGTGAGGGCGGACCGGGAGTGGGGACACGGAGAGCTTGTGGAGGGACGGACCAGGAGGTGTTGTGAGCAAGGGAAGGGGCCATGTGTCCTGAGAGTCCAGGGGACAGGCTCTATCCCAGTCAAGGAACTGAGGGACGGGGTGGAATCCCTTGTGTGTGCACTTGCTGCCACCATTAGGGTGTCTTCCCTCTGTCCTCTTGACCTCTCTCACTGCCTTAAGCATAACTCTGATCCTAGCCCTTCCTGGCCTTAACCCCACCCCACAGGAACTCCCAGGGTTTGCAGGGTGAAGTGTATGTTCCTTTAGTTTTTCCCTAGGTTCTTCCATCTGTTGAGCTTACCTCTTAGCGTTTCCTACTTAATTGCTTCTCCTCTGTGCCTCTTCTCAGATCTCTGTTCCCTTATCTTCAGCAGAATGAATTTCTTTGAACACTTTGCTTTCAAAAGCAGTCCCAAGGCCTGATTGGTTATCATGGTTCCCACTATAGAAATGCGGTGACCTGGTGCTGTGAACTCAGGTCACTACCACCCTAGCTGAGCCATGTTTTTAAAAGGTTTTATTTATTTAATTTTAGAGAGAGCAGAAGGGAGGGATAGGAACGTCAATGTGAGAGAGAAACGTTGATTGGCTGCCTCTTGCACTCACCCCTCCGGGGGACCTGGCCTGCAGCCCAGGCATGTGTCCTGACTGGGGGTTGAACCAGTGACCCATCACCCTGTGGAGCGATGCCCAACCCACTGAGCCACACCAGTCAGGGTGAGGCGTTGTTTTAGGTGGGCTCTTTTCCCTTCAGGGAAGAGTTTGGCCTGTCCTGTAGTAAGCAAGACTTTGGCTGTCCAGTCTTAGTGTCTGTAGGCTCAGCCCAGAAAGCATCAATAACATAGGCACCTCAGAAGCCCAGAGACACCACTGGGAGGACCTGGAGGGCCCAGGACCAGAGGAGGGGAGTGGAAAGATCTGGAATCCATATCTCTGAGCAATTTAGACTGGTGACCACCTGCTTTTCTTACGGACCCAAGAAACACAAAGCCTCCAACAGCCAACTCTCTCTCGTGAGGGAGAGAGTAGTGTAGGAGTAGTGTTGGTCCTGCCAGGACCGGGCCCTCGGAGAGCGGAGCGCCTGGAGGTCCCTACCCTTGCATCGGAGCAGGGAGGCCTGGGAAGCGGGGAGAGGCTTGCCGAGGGGATAGAGGCCGAAGTGGTGGACTCCTGGTGCCTTCGAGGTCATGGTGTCTGCTTCGGTGTCCCGCTGCCACTGTAAACTCAGCCACTACTAGATGAATTTCTGATTCCATCTCCTTCCTCTGGCATCCCTTTTTCTTATCCTGATGCTAATTATTTAAATTTTTTTCTTTAGCATGACTTGAATGGCAGGTCAAGTACTGAAGTCTTGTCTTGCGATGTTGCTTGCACCCTTTCTCCAGGCTCTTTCCACTCACTCCTGCTCTGCTGCCGGAGTCTCATTAGCCATCTGCCTACTTGGCCTTGAACTGTTTCTCCAGTCAGTGTGCCTCCACCACCCGGCCGTTCCTCTTGGCCTCCTGCTCGCTCTCTCAGGCCTCTGTGGCGGTCCAGCCACATTACCTGTGTGGGTTAGTTTCAGGCACCAAAGCCTCTCCCTCTTTCTGCCCTGCTCTGTCTGATGCGCAGAATCGTGCTGCAGCCAGGCCGGCTTCTTGTGACTGCGTTGGCCAGTCCTCCTCTTGCACGTGAGTCTTCCCTGGCCATCAGGGCTGAGTTTGAGTTCCGCCCTCCTGACCTTTCCCAATTGTTTCTCGGTAATCCTGTAGTGCTTGTCTCCGCAGACACGGCCGTTGCACCGTACATGCGTGGGAAGAGCCTGAGGTTTGTGAGTCCACCATATGTATCCCTCTTTCCAACCTGTGTCTTCTGTTGCTGAGTGGGGGTGGGGATGGGGGACCGCTAGCTGCGTTCCTTATCTCTTCCATTCCCTTGCGTAGTGTGACGCCCCTCGCACTGGGCATGCCTGGTTGGCAGTGACTGGGACTCCCGTCTGTTCCAGCTGAACCTCTGGTTGTCTCTGTTCGGCCTCTCTGGGTCCCTCACACCCGCCTGTTCGCTGTTTCCTCAGCCGGTGCCCCGGATCCTGGTGCAGCCCGCCCTGCCGGACGCCCAGATGACCAGGACGGCGGAGGTGAGCCGGCTGGGCGGGAGTGGTGCCTGTGCTGGAGGCTGCCCCACATGTAGTGGGTGGCCGGCGCGATAATTGTTGAGTCCACACCTGTGGTGGTTTTATTTTTGCTTTTCCATTTTGATGATTAACCATAATATAGGCCACTGTCTTCTGCCTCTATATTTTTCTTGTTACACTTGGCTATTTTCAACTTGTTAATCATATGATTGCTAAACTTTTAGGTGCTTGACTGCTAATGTAGTCTGCTGCTTTAATAGCCCACCAGCAGGCAAAGGCGATTTCTATAAACAGAACAATCTCCTTATTCTAAGTGTTTGCTTAATTCTCAGTTTTACATTTCATTCTGATTCATGATATCAGCGTGAAAAGACTAATGCTAAGCTCGGGAGAAAAATAGTCTCTTATGATCTCCCACAGATGAACAGCACTTCTAATCTTATGAATAGCAAATCTATTTTCTCCCACTGTGTGCTCATTCTCTTAGGAAATGCTGTATCTTCATAGGGAAATTTTATTTATTAAAACAACAGCCAAAAAAGCCAAATCATTTGAAAGAAAATTCAGACCTCCACGATGAATTCACTCCTTTCTGAAAGGCCCTTTTCTATCCAGCATGCCTTCCGTGTTCACGAGCGGAACTGAAGGTGTGACCAGGATCCCCCGCTCTCGCCGATGGGTGATGTGCATTACTTTCCTGAGACGGGTCGGGCCCGAGGCCAGTGGGACCGAGTGAGAACGAGCCCCGGCTGCTGAGGGCGCCGACCTGCCCTGGCCTCTGCAGCGCGGGGCGGCCTTGTGCCCATCGTGGTGCTTTGCTGAGTCCAGGCCTCAGTCGCTGTCCCTGAGGTGTCCGCGGGGGGCATACCCCACAGAGGGTGGGCAGGTTTCCACTCGTGCCCCCGCCAGTCAAGTGGGAGCGGCTCCTGCGGTGCAGGGGGCGCGGGGGCGGAAGGACTCGGGGGCTGCTGCTTGCTTCGGCTCAGCAGGAAGAAAGGCAGCAATCAGCGCTCCCTCCTGCCACTTACGGTCTCTTCTTTGCTGTGGCTGCCGGTCTGACCTTTGATCCCTGGTGTTCCCCTTCCTGGTGGCTCTGGCTAAACCTTCAGCCTCCCTGGGCCATGGTGTGAAGTAAATGTAATAATACTCTTTGGCCTACACCAAAGGATTTATGTGGAAGCAAATAGGACAATGCCAAGAAAATCTAAGGCACTGTCTCTAGACCGTCACCCCCTCAGGACAGAACCTCGCTGGCCCTTACCGGACAGCTGTCATCTGGCAGTGATGGGGTCTCACCAGGAGGGGCATGGGAACACATACTGTCTCAGGGTCATAGCTGTTGTTCAGGCTCTAGACTCTTGTGATTTGTTCCTGTATTCCTCCCTGCCTGGTCAGTGATATTAAAAATAAAATATAAAAGAATAAATAAAACATATATAAGTTACAAGAGAAAAATGATTGAAGGATTGCCTAATCTTTTAGAGTATTTATGCTGGTGACAGTTATTGATCTATTGGATTTAGTAAATTTTGCAGCCCAGAGATCCATCACAAAAATGGGCTGTTAATCTCAGGAGGTGCCGTTAATTCCGCACCCTGAAAGTGTGCCTTGTGGGGAAAGGAGGGCCTCCGGAGACAGGAATATAAATGACAATCCACGTGAAAATGCGTGATTTATCAGACTGCTGACTGAAGCCAAGTAACTGTAAGAGACTTATAGATCTCAGCTGTTCGCCCGTTCAAATAAATCCTGTGTATCAAATGGAAAATGGCCATTCCTGTAATATAAATAATCTTTCCGTAAATATTGGAAAACATATTTCTTTCTCCAAACGGCATTCTCTCCACCGCCCCATCCCAGTTCCCACTCCCGCCAGTCTCTCTCACCCCATCATTGTGAACCGGGAACAGAAAGATAATCTGCCAGCTTCTTCAAATGACTTAAATTACCCACAAAAGAACACTCACAAGCCCCTCAGCAACAGCAGGATTTGGATGAGCGGTGGCTGTCGTCATTCCCCACGAGATGGGGCTTTGTGCGTGTCCCTGCCAGAGTGACTCAGACAGAGCAGCGTTAGAGGGGGAGGCCAGCCCCAGCGCCTTCCTCCTCAGCTGCTCCTGGGGGGAGGGAGTGGGGGGGTGGGGGGGCGCTGCTGCTGGTCTGAGTGTCCTGGGACCCGAGGGCCTCCTGACCTGTGACATGGGACCAGACTGCAGCCGTGGCTTGAAAGATGGCCTCTTGGAGAGGGCACAGCCTGCAGCCTCTGTCTCCTCCCCTCCCGCTGCCTTAGCTGGGAGCAGCCAGACATCAGCAGGCCCGAGGGGCGTTTCTCTGGGCCTGAGCTGGGCAGGCTGAGCTGAAGTGCTTTCAGGCCCTCCCATGAGATCATCGCTTCAGTTTTGCAGAAGAGGGTTCTTCTGTATTCTAGCGATTCTCTCGGCCTCCCTGGGGAGTCAGGGTGGGCAGGGGATCTGTTTCCAAGGGAGCAGAGTTCTCAGGGAGGCAGGGGGTGCTGGGGGGTGCGGGGATGGAGATCGTTGTGTGCACCTACTGTGTGCCACGCTCTGTGGTGAGGCCTTGCCTGCCTTGCACGACCTGACCCCAGACAGCCCAACACGTATTATTTCCCACACCACCGGCCGGGTGTCTGAGGATTCAGCTCCGTCCGATGCTGTCTATACCCAGAGGTAGCACCAGACCCCACAGCTTAAGGGCACAGTCTCACAGGCTGCCCCCCACTTCGGACGCCAGCCTCAAGTCCAGGTTGTCACCTGTTCTTCTGACTGTCCAGCTGTAAATCGGACGTTCCTATGACCTGCTCCGTGGAATTGATTAACTTGCTGAGCGGCTCACAAAACTCAGAGAAACGTTTTACTTACTAGATTATGAGTTTATTGTACAAGGACGTGACTCAGACATGGCCAGATGGAAGACAGGCGGAGGGTAAGGTGTGGGGAAGTGATGCGAAGACTCCGCACTCTCTCTGAGCACGATTCTCTCCTCACACCTCCACGTGTTCGCTACCCCCAGAAACTCTCCAAAACCTGTCCTTATGAAGGTTTCTCTTCGTTACTTGGAAACTTCTGATTAAGTCATCGGCCATTTGGTGACTGGCGATGGACTCAGCCTCTGTCCCCTTTCACTACCCAGAAATCGGGGCGGGACTGAAAGTTCCCACCCTCCAAGCGTGGTTGTCCCCCCCTCCCCCCCGCAGTCCTGCCCCCATCCTTCAGGGATTTCTAAAAGTCACTTTAGTAACAAAATCTCAGGAGTTGTTAGAAGGGACTTGTTCTGAATATTAAGACACCTTTATTGCTCTTATCTCTTAGGAAGTCCCAAGGGTTTTAGAAAGAGCTCTGTGCGGAATTGGGGATGAAGACAGGACATACGTTTCTCGTCATAAATCGCAGGACCCGGGCATCCGTTAGCATCTCTGTACAGAAGCGGGGGGTGGGGGTGGACGGAACAGGCAGCCCCCGGGGTGTGTGCCCAGCGCTGCAGGGCCCTCTGCATCCATGGGGGGGAGGCGGGTCCCGTGGGCAATGTGGCAGAGCAGAGGCTGGACCCAGGCTGCCCTCCCGCACAGCAGCGCCCTCCCTGCAGCAGAGCTGTGGGGTTTCAGCTAACTGCAAGGCTCATGCCTCCCCCTGCTAGAAATGCACCTCTAACCTTGAACTCTGATCGGTCGCACCTCCCCTGTCCTGCTTCAGGGTCACCGGGAGAACACCGGGGTGAGAGTGGCCCCCGACGTGACCATGACTATGCAGACTGCTCCAGTGCTGAAGACCAAGGACAGACCAACTCAAGTGCCTTCGCCACCGAGCACGACTGCCAACACCCAGGTCCCCGAAGCGCAGGATGGGCCGCCAAGCCCCCTGAGCGAGGCCTCCAGCGGGTACTTCTCGCACAGCGTCTCCTCCACCACGCTGTCTGACGCCGTGGCCCTGGGCCTGGATGGTGCGGCCCAGGCGGGTGGGCAGACGCCTGGCTCGCCCCCTCCCGTCCCCTGCCCGGACTCCGAGACCCGGTTTTCTTCTGCTGCCCCAGGTGCAGACCGCACTCTCCCTGCCCCGCTGGAGGGTCAGAGCAGTCTTCTGTCACTGGCTGTCCCAGCAAGGCAGACTCTGCTGAGTGACAGTGATGGTGACAGTGCCAGTGTGGCCCAGGCCAAGGGAGCGGTTCCCTCGGAGAAGCAGAATGAAAAGGCAAGCACTTCACCTACACGTCTTCCCGCTTCCACCCCCCAGGAGTCGCCCAGCCCACAGAGCAGAGATGACGGCTCCTCTGCCACCACGCCGCTAGGAAGACCCAAGGACCAGACCAGGCCAAACGTCCGCTTAGAGCCGGACGTCTCCAAACCACAGCTGCCTCCTGACCTCTGGTCCCAGTCGCCCGCTCCAGCATCCCCGTTCAGGATCCGGAAGGTGCGGACCTCGGAGCTGAAGTCATTCTCACGCATGCTTGGCGGGGACCCTGGCAGCCCCGCTAGTGCCGAGGAGGACCTGCCGGCCTCAGGAGGGACTGGCGACGGCGGCTCTGGAGGGCAGAGCCTGGAGAAGCTGGACGTTTCCTCCGATTCCGAGGACACCAGCGAAGTCCCGGAGTGGCTCAGGGAAGGAGAGTATGTTACCGTGGGCACCAGCAAACTGGGCATCGTCAGGTACATCGGGCCGACCGACTTCCAGGAGGGGACCTGGGTCGGCGTGGAGCTGGACCTGCCCTCAGGTGAGCGCTGGTCGGGAGGGCCCTGGCACTGGCGGCGCTGAGCAGGCTGAGGGCCGCCCCAGACCCTTGCCCTGTGCCTTGGGCAGCCGTCGCCCGTGAGCCTCCTTTCCAAACTGGGGGGGTGGTTTCTGGATAAAGTTTTTCAGAATGTTTTAGGAGTCAGGTTCTCCTTTTTTTTTTTTTTTAGTCTCCAGAAATTTCTCAGAAACCTAAGACATTAATTAAAAGCTATAAATTTGGTAATGAATTTTAATGCCATTATTCTTTTTTTAGTCACAGCTGCATTTGCATTTGAAGTAGAACTGTAGCTCTGTCTGCTGTGTTAGCTCAGGTTACAGACACTGAGTCCCTGTGGGTGCTCAGCTGTTCCTAAGACACCCAGGCTGCTTCCCCCACACTCTGAGACCAGAGGGCAAGCCAGTCTCATTCTAGGACATCGCGGCGTAAAGCAAACTGACCATCATTTCCAGAAAAACTGAGGGCAGTCTTTAAGGAAGCAGTCTGCTCTTCAGATGTTTCATTAGAACACCTCTATTGGGAGAAGCTTACATGCCATAAAACCCGCTCTGCATGTGCCAGCTGGCGGCTCTGGGGCACTGCAGAGCTGTGCACCTGTTTCCACCACCTGATTCGGGCAGGCTTGCCCCCCCAGTGTCTGCACGTTGTCCGCCTTACACGCTGGTCAACCTACCTAGTCTTCCTGTCTCAAAAGTTACACGAAATGTTTCCAGTCTGGACTTCCATGTAAGTGGAATCCTACAGAATGTGGGCTAGTTTTGTGCCTGGCTTATTCCGCTGAACCTAGTGTTTCCCAGGTGTGTCCAGTCGTAGCCCATTACTGTAGCGTGTGACTCCTCTGTGTGGCCCGATGGTATCCCACGTCTCGGAGGCCCAAGTTTTGTGCATCCATTTGTCAGTTGATGGACATTTGGGTTGCTCCCACTTTTTGGCTTTTGTGAAGAATGCTGCTGGGAATATTTGTGTGTATGTTTTTGTGTGGACACACATTTTCATTTTTCTTGATTGGATCCCAGGAGCTAACTCTGAGTCTAACGCCTTGAGGGCTGCCAGACCGAGGTCCACCCTCCCTGCCCCTACAGCACACGAGGGTCAGGCCACCAGGCAAGGGTTGGGCGCTGTGGAGGTGGGTTGTTAGGAGAGCTCCGTGTGGCCAGGCGGGGCGGTGGGGCGCAGCTAGCAGCCCAGCAGGGAGGGAGGAGGGAGAGTGGGTGGGGGGGGTGTTGCTCTGTGGCACCCGAGGCCTGTCCCATGGGGACTCTGTCTCTGAGCCCCTCAGCTCAGCTGCGAAGTCACTCACTGGTTTTAAAAATAATTTCAGCAAAGAATATCATAAATTGGAAGTGGTTCTAAAAGATCATTGTAGCACAGGCTGGAATATTTTTTAAACTCCATTTCCACCGAAATGCGAGTGGGAATTGGAAAACAATTTTGTATTTGGAATTAAATCTAAGAATTAAAGGAAGATTAGGAAGTGGATGCTTTCATCCAGCAAACACTGATGCACCTGCTACGTTTCAGTCGTTGTCCTGGGACTTGGGGTTACCTCCTGGGCAGAACAAAGTTCCTGGTTTCACTGGACATTGATTTCAGAGGGGAGACAAAGACCAAACAAACAGCAAACTTTGGTAGTAGTAAGCACTAGGAGGAAAATAAATGGGCCAAGCAGACGGGGGATGTTGGGTGTGGGAATGCCGTAAGCCAGCGGTCTCCGGCCTTTTGGGCACCAGGGCCCAGTGTCCTGGGAGACGGCTCTTCTACCACGGTGTGGCCCGGCTCCCAATGGGCCACAGACCACTACCAGTCCGCGGCCCAGGGGTGGGGCCCCTGCTGTAAGGAATACCGAGGAACGGGGGCAGGAGTGATGTGAGGGGGAAGCGGAGCTGGGGCAGCATCAGGCCGAGGGCACCGCAGGCACTGGCTCTGCACAGGGACCCGCTCGCTGCATTTGAGGGGATCCTAGAGATGAGGCGGCCAGTTCAGGATGGACAAAGTATGACAGGAAGACAGCTGCTGTTAGGAACACAGACTCGGGGTGAGGGTGGGGCCAGGAGGACCACAAAGGAGGCTGCTGCGGATGTCCAGGCCGGCTGCACCCTGGAGCCAGGACAGATGTGGGGAAGCCCAGGACTGAGGGGCGGTGGCCTGACGGGTAGAAAGGAGTCAGGCTGGCCCCTGAGAGTGGCCTGAGACCCCAGGGGTAGGAAGGGTCATGGCCCTGTGGGAGAGCCTGGGAGAGCAGGTGAGGGCACAGGGTGGGAGGAAGCCAAGTTCTGCTGGACACGTGGACCTGGAGGTGTGGGGGACTCTCTCCAGGGGAGGGGAGGGGAGGCGGCAGAGGGGCTACTCTGGGACTGGAGACACAGCTGAGAGGTCAGTGTTCAGGGTCATGCAGCCAAGGTGGGTAAGCCCCAAGATAGTGGGACCCAGGAGCCCCGTGATGACAGCGGCCACACAGTGGGAGAGAACACTGGCTCAATTCCTGACCCCTGGAGCAGTGGTCCCCGGGGACACTGAGGGCTGTGGGTGGAGGGGCAGAGAGGAGGGCAGGTGAGGGTCTGCAGACAGGGCGTGGAGAGAATGCAGGGCCGTTTTCGCTCACAGACCGCATGCCCCAGCACTCCCATCACCATGGGTGCAGACATTTAGGGTGAGGGCGGCCCCTTTGTTCCAGCCTGTCCATCCCCACCTGGGTGCATCCTTCACCTTAAAGCATTTTTTATTCACTTTTGCAAAGGAAGCTTCACTCCATCTTGACACATCAAGCATGACATCTGGCAAGCTACAATTTGGAAATTTGCTAGTTACCATCTAATAGGTTATTGTACCAAAAATTATTCTACCAAAAACATTTGTCCTAGGTTTACATTTTGACCATCTAGACTGAGAACAGTCTGTGCCCTGGTGGGGGAGGGGAGGTGTGTCAGCTCTGCCTCGGCAGCATTGGAAACAGGAGGATTAGCGTATCAGCCTGACGCCTGCAGCCCCGGGGGTGTCTGTCCCCGGTGACAGCTGTGTGCTGCCCGGGAGGTGGCACTGGTCTCACTTGCTGGATGGTGAGTCCCTGTGCAGGCCACTTGGTGCTTGGGGTCCTGCAGGGAAGGGCCGTGGGGTTGTGAGCTGCCTGGAGCCACCTCTGTCTTCTTTTCCTCTCCCCTCAGGTAAGAACGACGGCTCCATCGGAGGAAAGCAGTACTTCAAGTGCAACCCGGGCTACGGGCTGCTGGTGAGGCCCAGCCGGGTGCGCAGGGCGGCGGGTGCCAGCCGGCGGCGCAGTGCGGGGCTCCGGCTGCAGGGCGCCCCTGAGCCCCGCAGGAGCAGCACTCTCTCCGGCTCCGCCACCAACCTGGCCTCCCTGACAGCAGCTCTGGCCAAGGCCGAGGGCACCTCTGCACTGCGGGTGGACAGGAGCCCCAAGAACCCCGAGGACCGGAAGTCCTGGGCCAGCTGAGCCAGCACCGCGTGGTGCACGCTGACAGCCGGGCGATGACAGCCCCGGCTGGGATTGGAGCTGGGCGGCCCTGTCCCGCACACCCCCTTCCCTGAGGGAGCAGGCACTGAAGGCTTTCTGCAGGACACCGGGCTGGTGACCTCCCCGCTTCTCCCAGGACCCTGGAAACTTCGATTCTTCCTCCACCCAGACAACAAGGAGGAGGCCTCTCCTCAGGGTAGTGGGTTGAAGGTTCTAGGAACCCAGACTGGTCCTGGCTTGTGGGGAAGGAGGCCCTGAGGGCACCTGCCATCCCCTCCATCCCCTGGTCATGGGGCTCCTCCCACCTGGGGCTGCTGTGGCCCCTGTTCTGTTCTGGCAACCCCATTAACCTCGTAATTTAAAGAACAGCCCTAACCAGTGCCTTCTCTTCTCCCAGAGGCAGGGTCCTCCGCTTGCCCCCAGGGTGGGCTGGCTCCTCCCCCCAAATCCCCACACCAGGTACCACGCAAGCGCCTCTGGTCGGGCCCCCAGGGCTCCTGGCCCAAGGTTGGGTCCTGTGTGGCCCGGAGAGGGCCACAGGGTCTGCCCGCCTACCAGTCCCTCGTCCTTCTCCCAGCGTTTCTGAGGGTTTTCTCTGTGGTGGTTGTGGCATCTTCATACCCATAAAGTTTTTCTCCTTGCCATTTATTCTCTTACAGAGTGTTTGGAATATATTTATTTATATTTATTTTTCAAAATCTGAAATGATTCGCGAGTCACAATCGCCTGCCCAGGTGCAAGTGCCCAGGGCCAGCCTCCTGCCTCGGGCAAGGGACCCCACAGGGCCGGGGATGACCGCCCCCAATTTTCCTTGAATAAAGATACGCAGGTGGCCTTCCCCTGAGACGACCTCGAAAACTTGGAGAGTTATGTTGTGTTTTCAGTCAGTGACAAAGGCAGGCAGAGGCATAAGACCTTGTTTGGTGCAGTCCTGGGGTCTGGGAAGGTCCTTCGGCAGTTTAACTTCTTCGCAGTTCTATCCCTGGGCCCTGTGGGAGGGAGCCCGCCCCACCGTCCCTATGGAGCCGCACACCAGGCCAGGCGCCCCACCGGGCTCCCCTGGAGGGCATCTGCGGAAGAGGGCAGAGGGCAGGTGCGCTGCAGACTGGGGAGGGGTGGGCTCCGCCCGGCCGGGGCTCCTGGCCCCTCTGCAGCAGGAGCCCTCGGGCACCAGCGCCTCCACAGGCTCCGGAGCCCGGGGCTGGGTCCGTGCACTGCTCTCCTGGCTGCCTGGCTGTACTTTTCCTGTTTAGACTCTGAAAACAACACTCAGACGCTTTTTTTCTTCTTTAAATCTTTGGTTCTCTAGTTATTTGAGGCTCCTCATGAGAAACAGTGCCAGGTTTCCTGCCCCTGGGTGGGCTGCTCACGGGGACACTCACAGGACACAGCTGCGCGTGCTCAGGCCCACAGGGAAGGGGCCCCGGGTTGGTTAGCTCCTGGCAGCAACTAGTGATGCCCGGCCGGACCTTGGGTCCTGTGTCTCCTGACCACCACTGACAGCCAGGTGAGGCTGCCTGCCCCTCCCCGGCACCCTCGGTGGGTGGGACTGCAAGGTAGAACCGCTCGGAGCTGACGAGTGCCGGCCGGGCGCTGCCCACCCTGGGGTCCGCTGGGACATGGCGGCGTTCTACCTGCGCAGGGCAGCGGCTGCCGCTCCCTGCTCCTCCCCGCGTCCTCAGAGGAGGCAGGCCAGGAGGTCAAGAGCATGCCCCTTGTTAAGCCTTATCTCAGCCCAGGTTCCCAGTTCTGGGTCTAGAAGTATCTCACAGGCAACAGGCTGAAGCCAGGGAAAGTTCAGGGAAGTTTCCAGTGTCCAGAAGCCCCAGCTTCTGACTCCCAGCCTGGGCTCTCCCTGTCCCCACGAAGCATACTGCCAGTCCCGCCTCAGGTCCCCTAGGTGTCAGCCCGCCCCGCCCCAGCGTAGGGAGCTCACGGGCCACAGCCAGGTTTTGGTAGTTTAACCCGCCATCCTCTTAATGAGGATCTGCAGGCCCCGCCCCCAGCTCGGCTTCCTGGAAGGCTGGAGCAGTCAGCTCCCCCGAGACAGCTGCCTGCAGCGTCCTGTCCTCCTGCCCATGTCACCTCTGGCCTGGGAGGTAGGTGACTCTGGTTTTCTAGTCCCGGCCACTAGACATGAGGGCACCCATGGGTGGAGGTTTGCCCTCCACAAGGGCTGGCCCGGAGGCTCCGCTGTCTCCTCTGGCAGGGGCCGAGGGCCTGCTGTGTGCACCTTCCTGCGTGCGCCTTCCAGCCCGCGCCCGGGCCCGGGCCCCTGAGGGAGGTGTGCTCAGTCCTGTGCTCTGCGTTTCTGCGGAACCTCCAGCACAGGTCCCCAGAGTCCCTGTCAGTTGGAGTGTCTCCCTGCCTCCATCAGCGTGGTCTGTGGGCCGCGGGGCCAGCACCCATCCCCCTTTCTCAGGGCAGACGACCCACTCACTGTAGGGAAGACACAAAGGGGAGGGAAGGTCGCTGGGTGTGTGTGGCCCTTCCTCACTTGGCAGGTGCTCACTGGAGCCTGTCTGCCACGTGACGTGGGGGCAGTGGGTCCAGTCAGGGACTGCCCAGGGCGGGTCTGCCTCAGGCCCTCTTGGTGTGGGACAGGTTTCCCAACAGAGTCCAGGTGATTCTGGGAGGACGTTGATTAGAGCTGGGCACAGTGAGACGGAGGAAGGCCTTAGGGTAGAAGCAGCCGCAGGAGAGAGCCCGGGCGGCGCTGTGCTCTGACTTCCCTGGAGAGTCACAGGGAAGGAGTGAGCCCAGGCAACGCTGCTGTCAACTCACTGGGATGTCAGAGAAAAGGGGCCTTGGAGACAGGGTGGGGGGCGGAGGAGCCCGGGACAAGCAGCCACGGCCCGCCATTCCCCTGGTTGCAGGTCTCCGGGGGGCCTTAGAGGTTGGGAAGCAATTAAAAGCCCATGCCCAGCGAGGTGCATGGGGCTGCCCCACAGTGGGCTGCCCCACAGCCAGCCGCCCAGGGCCTGTGTCTTGAGGGCCTTTCTCTCTCTCTCCTGCAGGTGAGAGTCTTGGGGGAGGGTTTGGGCAGAATGTTCCTTAGCTTCCCAGGTGCATCAGAGTGATCGTGTAGGGCAGATGGGGGTTGTTCTTGGTCTGCTTTTCTGTTTTCCTTTTGTCTTGGGTCCTCTGGCTCTAATCCGGTCTTTGCTATTTGTTCCCCTGACTTCATCGTCCTTGGGTTTGGCTGCACAAGTGGCATTCCCTGGGTGTCTGTCCTCTCCCTCCCGACCAGGGAGATGTGAGCTGTGCATTCTCTGGTCAGGGAGGAGAGGGAGTGACCCTTTGCTCTCAGGTGACCTTGGTTGGAGAAGATAAGGTGTTGTAATTCACTAGCTGGCTGCAAGTTGTTCAAATTGTTTGGTCTTGTCTAATGATCTTGTCTGTTCCCCATTCTCCTTGCCCAGGAAGTTTCCCAGCTTCTTACTGTGCTGCCTCAGCAGTTTTCCAGAACTGTCCTGGGAAGGTCAGTGGGGAGTGAGGGGTGTCATGCTGTCTGTCCTTTGTTTTGATTAAAATGGGACAGACTGGGATGGAGTTGTGGGCTCAGATGGGTTTTTGTCAACTGAAGCACAAGCCAGTGGGTGAGCTCTGAGTGATCAGGGAGCCCTGTTCTCTGGAGGCTTCGGGACCCCTTCCTTTCTTCCCCCCAACTCGGTCTCCTGAGCCTGCGGTGCTCCCACTCGTCCTGCCTCCAGCCTGAACCCTCCCGGGGAGCCAGGAGGGCCCCTCGGCCTGGCGTGGAGTGAGGCTCCCGGAGACCCTGAGCAGCCAAGCGGGGTTGGCCGGGACAGCGGCGTGTTCATGGCTTTCAGCAGCTCCTGCCGGTTTCCAAAAGCAGCCCTGTCTCTAGGGAGGGAAGCGCCGCCGATGCTGTCAGCTCGCGGGGCTGCCTGAAAGGGAGCGTGTCAGGGAGCAGGTGTGGGTCCCGTCGGCGCCCCTGGCGAGCCACTGCTGTGCAGGGCGTTTTCGAAGTGGCCATGCTGGTCCCTGTCAGCACCCGGCTGGACCTGTCCCCCCGATTCCCCGCAGGAGTGCCTTGTGGTTCTGGGCCCCCGCTTGCTGCTGGCTCCGCTCCCTGGACATCCCTTCAGGGCCAGCGTGTTGCTGGCTCCCGCAGGGTGCACACAGGACACTGGTGCCCTTGTCGCCCTATCATGGCCCCCCTCTTCCTGGGGGCTGAGCCCTCCTGCTCCCAGGGGTTTGCCGTGAGTGCTGGAGGGAGGCCTGCCCTGCCGCCCTCTCCTGGTTCCCCTTGTGTCATGGTGCAGACCGACCTGACTTGTTGCTGGAACAGCGGTGCCATGCAGATGTCACTGAAGCCACAAGCCCTTACAGCCCCACAGCCCCACAGCCCAGCAGGCGTTGGGCCTCAGATGCGGGCTGGAGAGTCCTGTGAGGACCAGAGCCCGAGGGGGAGCTCTGCTTCATCCTCCCTTGTTCCCACCTACTAATCAGCTGACCTAACTTTACAGACAGTGTCAGCATTGGGGTTTGCCGTGCGGTGCCTTGCAGGGCCCAGGCTCTGGACGCAGTGTGACGGCAGGAGGGAACGGCCATGCCGCTTGGAAGTGGGGGGCCAGGCGAGGACGTGTCTGAGGCTGGGGGTGCCGTACGAGCACCCCCAGGCAGACACTGGGTGCAAACCTCCTGGCCTCTGCCTCCCGCTCTGCACTGCCACCCCCCACTCCCAGGGGGCTTAGGGTGGCCGGAGGGGGCAGGGGAGCAGGAGGACACAGCTGGTGAAGGACTGTACGTCTAGTGAGGGAACACACTCCAAGCAGAACCATCAGAGAGTCCGAGAGGCTTAGGAGGTGTTTAGATGCCCCTTGCTTACATTTTCTGCCCCTGCCGTAACGTTCCCTGTTTACAGAGCTGACAGAGTCCACGGGGATTTATCGTCCTGGCCCAAGGCCGCCCGTGGGCCGCATGTCATGGTGCCCTCCGCTCCCGGGGCCGCCTCAGGCAGGCGGTGTTGAGACGGTGGCCACTGCCTGCCTGCCATGCCTCCCTTTGGGGCCGGGAGTGCGGCCTGGTTCACGCCCAGGACACAGACGCGACCGTCCCCGCGTGCGTGTTCCTCTCCAGGAAGCCCGTCGTCCTGGCTGGCCGCTGACACGGTGTGCGTGGGGTGGTCTGGGGACGCCTTCTCTGCGCGCAGAGTTCTATGGGTGCGAGGGGCTCACGTGTGAAGAAGCGATTTTGCTTCGGGGAGGATGTGGATTTGCCACACGTGACATGGGAGTTTAAAAGCATCCAGAGACTGTGATGACTTGTAATGACTCGATGACCTGTATTGTATGATGAACTGAACCCCTGTAACTTTGTGCCCTGTATGCCTTTCCACCACGTGACCCGCCGCTTCTAAATAAAATCAGATGATTTCTTGACTGAGGTCAGTCTTTTCCCTCCCCTCGCCTGGCATAGGGGTGTTTGGGCCCCTCTAGACTGTTCCACAGGCACGGGGGGACCTGGTTCTGCGTGAGTGAGGTGGGGCTCTCCACGACGGAGCCGGGAAGTGGCAGTCCGGGGAAGCAGCAGCCCCAGCCCCTGCGCTTGTGCCTTTGGATGAAAGCATCAGGGAGGCCCAGCTGGTTCTGTGGGTGGTCTTCTGCCCCTTCGGTGAGACTTTTCAGGAGCC